TTTAAGTAATGCCCCGAGTAAGAACTAGGGAAGCAAACGGCAAAGGAATGCAAGAAGGTGCTAATTGTGCATTGTATAATCCATCCATCCCATTGGTTAAAACATGAAAATCTGCTATAATTTCACAAGTTAGCGAATTTTCTAATATTTTATTTAATGTCTGTTTTCGCTTTCATGAAAGCTTTCTTTAGCTTCAATATTAAGGTAATTCTATGTGGGGAACATTGCAAATTAGAAGCATCTTTTGGCTATTGTTTTGAGTGCTTGAGATTGGATAAGATCTTTTAATACAAAATAAACTTTGTTTCAAAATAGAGTTTATCCACATTTTATTTCAAAATGTGTTACCCACAGGTTAATACATAATCAGTGTGAAAACCAAGACATTCGTACATGGGGAACTTGCTATGCCACAGAACAATAGAGAGTTCCCTAGTTCTTTAGCGCATTGTTACTTAAAACATTCCATTGTTTTAACTCAGAAGATTATACTCACCAGAGGGGATCAGAGTGACTGCATATCAAATAAAATGTACATAAGCAATCTTTGATACATGACATATATCAAAACACAATGCATTCAAGCTCTACTTTCAAGAGAATATATATGTATCAAAATTTCTACTGTTTCTGAACACTTTTCTCCAATGTAAACATACTATGATGTCATAATGAAATAGGGCAAATTTAAAAGGCTAATCTATAGCCTCCGTAGCAGACGTTCCAAGTGGTTCAATTCTTTTGCGGGAAAGAGAATCGAACCGCTTGGAACGTCTACTACGGAGGCTAGCTAATCTAATGGTTCAGTTGATTTGAGTAAATGCAGTTGTATACCATGCAAATTATGAAAATATAATTTATTAGTCTGTGTAGTTTGAATGACTAATATTGTGCACGAGATCACTGAACCAGAGCAGAGTTATGAAACAAAAGGTAATGCACACTGGTCTGGTTCAGCGACGACTTACACTATTAATCAGTATATACATGTACAGAGTAATAAGTTATTTTTCACTTAAAGTGTGTTTGCTTGATTGTTTTATTATAAACAGTTATAAATTTTTATAAGGTAGACTTGACTTTGGTACCCCAAAAATATGAAAGGTGCACCYAGAAAACATCTTCAAATAGTCCACACACTGAATATACTATTAATTTCTACATATCAAATTTACTTTTCTGAATAATCAGGCTGACTTAAATGATATCCTTTAAGGGTGTACATCARCTAAAGTGGTTGTATCGCAAGAACTGCTACAGTTTTCCGACCCCTGGCATTGCAGACAAGGCATTCATTCAGTCTATAACACTGGTATGTACAAAAGGGAACTTCACAATAGGTTTGACTCTACTTCAATCCATAAATGTTATTTTGTACAAATGATTATATAGAAGAGCAATGAATAGAATGCTGAAAACTCTTGAAAAATCAGTCATTGAATATTCTAGTTCTTTATTGTGTCAGGCTGGAACAGTGGAACCAAAGACAGAKTGTAAAAACTGTCCTCCTGGTACTTATAGTAACAAGAATGGAGCTACAAAGTGTGAAAAATGTGATTACTTTCAGTAYCAGTCCAAAACAGGTAAAAGGTTTTACAAAATGTAACCTAACAATGCAATGCTAAGACAGGAATTTGTATTTATTTACCATCTGGGTCAGGTTTTTCAAAGCTTAATAAGCACTAATCTTTTTTTTTTTTTCTTTTTTTTTGCAGGGCAGACAAAATGTACAGATTGTCCATCAGATAGTTACTCTATGCAAGGTTCTGCATACTGCATTCCAATGGCAGTCTGTACTGAAAACGATCTTATCATGGCACCTGAAGATATTAGCACTTGTACCGTGAGGAAGACAGATGGTGTACTCGTCAGGAAAATTATACCTGAATACACTACAGTCAGTAGTAAGTAAAATAAAATACTCAATCGTGCAGAGCAAAAATGCAGCAAAATCGATAATTTCCATTCTTTCTTTTGTAATACTTGTAAAGATACAAGGGTGTGAATACAATAGAGCTGTTAAAGTAGGCATGACATGGGAGACTCATGATCATGCCATGACAGGTTCTTCCCTCTTGGAAAAGCCTCTCAAAATAAACTTTCTAATTTTTCAGTTAAAGCCAAAAAACGCACACTGTGCATAAAGCCAACAGCTGTCACACCTCCCAAAACCGTCCCATGCAAATGTCAACCAGGCTTTGAGCTGACACGTAAGGTTTCAACTGCGAAATGCAGACAATGCCCAAAGGGTATGATGTCCCAAGATGGCATGAARTGTGKSAAGTGCCCAAGTGGACATGTTGCATTGATGGGAATGCATTACTATTGGTGGGATAAAAGCGGCCTACCCGAAGGATTTACATCTGGTTGTGGTGGCGATTGTCCAGATATGGTAAGATACTTCAGCAAGTTGTGGTAACTTTAAGACAACGGACGATGCGAACTCAAGTTATAAATTTTTATAAGGTAGACTTGACTTTGGTACCCCAAAAATATGAAAGGTGCACCCAGAAAACATCTTCAAATAGTCCACACACTGAATATACTATTAATTTCTACATATCAAATTTACTTTTCTGAATAATCAGGCTGACTTAAATGATATCCTTTAAGGGTGTACATCARCTAAAGTGGTTGTATCGCAAGAACTGCTACAGTTTTCCGACCCCTGGCATTGCAGACAAGGCATTCATTCAGTCTATAACACTGGTATGTACAAAAGGGAACTTCACAATAGGTTTGACTCTACTTCAATCCATAAATGTTATTTTGTACAAATGATTATATAGAAGAGCAATGAATAGAATGCTGAAAACTCTTGAAAAATCAGTCATTGAATATTCTAGTTCTTTATTGTGTCAGGCTGGAACAGTGGAACCAAAGACAGAKTGTAAAAACTGTCCTCCTGGTACTTATAGTAACAAGAATGGAGCTACAAAGTGTGAAAAATGTGATTACTTTCAGTAYCAGTCCAAAACAGGTAAAAGGTTTTACAAAATGTAACCTAACAATGCAATGCTAAGACAGGAATTTGTATTTATTTACCATCTGGGTCAGGTTTTTCAAAGCTTAATAAGCACTAATCTTTTTTTTTTTTTCTTTTTTTTTGCAGGGCAGACAAAATGTACAGATTGTCCATCAGATAGTTACTCTATGCAAGGTTCTGCATACTGCATTCCAATGGCAGTCTGTACTGAAAACGATCTTATCATGGCACCTGAAGATATTAGCACTTGTACCGTGAGGAAGACAGATGGTGTACTCGTCAGGAAAATTATACCTGAATACACTACAGTCAGTAGTAAGTAAAATAAAATACTCAATCGTGCAGAGCAAAAATGCAGCAAAATCGATAATTTCCATTCTTTCTTTTGTAATACTTGTAAAGATACAAGGGTGTGAATACAATAGAGCTGTTAAAGTAGGCATGACATGGGAGACTCATGATCATGCCATGACAGGTTCTTCCCTCTTGGAAAAGCCTCTCAAAATAAACTTTCTAATTTTTCAGTTAAAGCCAAAAAACGCACACTGTGCATAAAGCCAACAGCTGTCACACCTCCCAAAACCGTCCCATGCAAATGCCAACCAGGGTTTGAGCTGACACCTAAGGTTTCAACGGCGAAATGCAGACAATGCCCAAAGGGTATGATGTCCCAAGATGGCATGAAATGTGTCAAGTGCCCAAGTGGACATGTTGCATTGATGGGAATGCATTACTATTGGTGGGATAAAAGCGGCCTACCCGAAGGATTTACATCTGGTTGTGGTGGCGATTGTCCAGATATGGTAAGATACTTCAGCAAGTTGTGGTAACTTTAAGACAACGGACGATGCGAACTCAAGTTTGAAATTTGAAATGTCCATGTTTGTGAGATGTCATTAATTGCAAATAGGCAAGTTCGAGTTTGCCCTTCATGTATACTGGTTGGTGAACATTAGAAATATATTAAAGTGGCCTTTTCTGAGATAGCAGTTTGCATTGCATTGTGGTCTAGATTCGGTACAAACATCTTTTGTTCATGCTGCCAAATATGGCGTTGTTTGTTCAGAAAAGTCCTATTGAGCCTATATATCAGAAAAAATTCCAAGAAATTCAGAGTTTGCGAGAGGTCCGATAGTCATATACATAGTCGGTACTCTGTCCATTATCAACAGCTGACATCTTACTTAAAAACATTTAAATGTAAAATTCATTAAACGCGCGTTCGAATCTGGTTAAAGTAGAGTATATATTACCCTGGTTCCAGAGGTTTGATATTTTCTCTCCGCCATTGTTTTTGTTTTTGCTTCGCGACGACAAAAACAATAGCGAAGAGAGAAAATATAAAGCCTCTGGAACCAGGGTAAGTAATACTGGAGTCTCCATCCAGTTGACATCTTTTTTTAAAAAAAAGTATTATTTTTAATTTTATTATTATTGAAGATGGGCTGGAGACCAGCTGGAAGCCACATTCGTACCGTCCGTGTCGTAGGGGACGTTGATTCCTTCATACAGACAGACAAATACGAAGTTGTGTCCAACATCGCTTATATCGCGTTCAATTGCTCTATTCTGTGTAATATGTCTCAACCTGTAAGCCGTCTCCAAGGCAACCACTTGGCAGATATTAACTACTGCAACTTAGTCTTTGAAGTTTGGGCCAATGATAGTCTAGCAGATCAAGTCAATTGTACGAAACCTAAAGGAAAGTACGTTTATAAGCACGAACGAAAACGCGATGGAAGACCAGTAGGTCACAAGTATGATCTTAAAAGGGGTACCAGCTATAAGTTCAGGTAATTACCAGAGCAGTTTTTAAAATTTATTCACATAAGTGAAATTATATTTATAAGGATTGAACTTCTTTTTTAGGTGGTTCTTTCATCAAGAGGATGAATTGAAGTCTGTCTCTTCTGCCTTCGAAGCCAGGATTTATAATATCAGTATTGTGGGTGTCAGAGGTGGCTCAGCTATAGCCTGCACACCCTGTGCTAGCGGATATTACAGTGTCGCTGATAACAATGACTGCCGAATTTGCCCGAAAGGAACCTACAGTAAAAGGGGATCAAGCAAGTGCTTGAATTGTAAAGAAGRWTACTTTTCAGACGCAGTAAGTAAATGCAGTTATTACACTTCGGCCTTTAAAGGCTAAATCTTGCACAAGGCAACTGAAGTAATTGGGTTTGAATAATGTGCAATACGGTGTTTGGAACACATTTAACTAAAGGAAATTAGAAATTGTACTAAGWTCCATTTTTGCTTATTTAGCCCGGTAGCGGMGAGTGTCTTGCTTGCGGCGCCACGACAAAAAGTCTACCAACTCGCGACGGWTGTACCAATAATGGCTGCTCGTATTCCTACAAGGACGCTGGTTTAGAGTACGATTTTTCCCGGCTCTCGCGCGTCAATGGCTCAATGTTTAATGTGTTGAGCTATCAAGTAGGTGGTCCAGGTT